CCAGGTCTGTGAGGTTTTCTGCTAGTACTATAGTGTCATCTACATATCCTAGATTGTTGATATTCCTCCTATTTTCACTCCTCCTCCTTGTGTGTACTGGCCTAATTTACATAGAGAGTAAAACTGTGTAATGGTCAGTCATAATTCAGCCCGTTGACAAGATTCTCAAGTTGTGTCTGATCGTAGGGGGCCGTGCTCATCTCCGTTACTAAGCCAAAGAGCCAGCATTGTCAGAGACAACTCTGTGATCACGTGTCCAGCATGATTGCACAGAACGCTGTTTACCTATCCACCAAAGTGGTATCTGTTTATTTACTTGCATTTGCATGCTTTCGAACTGCTAGGTTGGCAGAAGCTGGGACTAGTGACAGGAGCTCACCCCATCATGCAGCACCCGGGCCTCGAACTACCAACCTGCCAATCTTTCAGTCAACAGATGGGTGTTGCAGACTGCCAGAAATAGTGCAAATTGAGTCCACTTTTAGGGTTAGGGTTAGGGAATCATGGGAATTGTATTTTATTGTGGCACCAGAGCTCTCTGACAGAGAAGGCTCAATGTCTGAGAGAGAAAAAAATAATTCCCATGATTCCCTAGCACTAACCCTAACCCTAAAAGTGGACTCAATTTGCACTATTTCTGACATTCTGCAACCCCCCAGAGTCAGTGTCTTCTGGGAGTTGTAGTGTTGAGAGACATTTAGCCTTCCCTGTCAGATAGCTCTGGTGCCAAAACAAACTATAATTCTCAGAATCCCATAGGATTGAGCCATAGCAGTTAAAGTAGTGTCAAACTGGATTATTTCTGCAGTGCAGATGCAGCTATAGTGTTCACCTGAAATGGTATCAAAAGAAGTAATATTAATGGCTTATCTTGCAGGGCTGCTATAAGGTTGCCTGGGAAGCTCAGTGTCAGAGATGGGGAATCCTGCGCCCCCATTGACGGTTAATGCATTCTTTGGGTACTTCCTGGACCCCACTGCTAAACCTCTGCTACTGGTGGGGAAATGGGTGAAAAAAAGGAGAATTGCAAAGCCTTTAGGCATGGTGAATCTCCTTCTAAACAAGGCTTTTTTGAAGCTTAAACAAAAAAATATTTTTTACAAAAATCCCTTTTTTATGAGGGTTTTTTTTTTACAGCTATTGGACTCCAGAGTTGGGAAATATGTTGCATAATTATGATTTTCAGAAGATATAATTTGACACTCTTCTTGGTGTTTTGTTATCTCCTCCCAAGCTGTCATTTTTTTAAAAAAAAAATGCTTATATTAAAACATGCACAGCCCAATTCTGTGCTTTATTACTTGAAAGTAGTTCCTCCTGAGTTCAATGGGGCTTCCTTGGATTTCAACCTCAAATTAAAAACAGATCTTAAATTGGATTCTCTTAGAATATGTTTCAGTCTGGCACATTCACGAATGGTCTGGGAAGTAGAGGAGTGTTGCTGCACCCATTTTTAATGAATATAAATGTTGCCATGAAGCAAAGAGACAAGGTCATAAGGCAAGTCGGCAGCAGTGTGAAGGCCTCCTCCTCCTCCTCCTCCTCTACTCAACAAGAGAAGACTAATCTTGTGGCCAGGAGGTTGGATTTACAAAACCACAGACATAAATAGCATGGTAGTATTGATTTCCACTTAATAACATACTTCAGAACACAGACTCATAAGAAGTTGTGGTTTTGCCCCTGAAAGCTAAAAAAGAATTCATTTGGTAGTCTGTGCCAAATAGATATCTACATACCGGCAAACCAGAGCTTCTGTAAATGAATTATTCTGCATGCTTGAAGCAGGGTTATTCCAAAGGACTTTTTGAGTTGTTGGCCATGAGCTTTGGTGTGTGTGAATCCTGTGTAATGTTATATTACAGCAGCATAACATTTCTGGAGGTAGGCATTTCTCCCCACAAAACAAGTTAAGTGTTGGCAACTGAGGCTGTATTCCATGCGTCTGAGAAAGTGGGCTGTAGTCACAAAAACTTATCCTGAGGTAAAACAGTCATTAAAGTGCCATAGGACTTCTTCTTTTTTAAACCTTCAGCGGTAGCAATTCTTCCCTGGTTATTTCATCACACATATTTAATCTGTATTAGGGAAGGTCCACTATATCAGGTCCTGGAGCCACATTTGCACCTGGAACCCACTCCCCTCCCCATCAGTGTTATTGCTAAATTCATTATTTAGCCCT